GTGAATGAATGAATGGTAGCCTTATTGGATATCTTAGAAGATGGTGGACGGACTGGGTACATAGGGAACTTACTGTGAACATTTCCTCATACCGGACGGGGTATCGAAGATTAATTTTTTTGACGCTCATATCGGACGAGGTATTGATAATTAGTATTTTTGGCGCTCATACCGAACAGGGTGTTGAGATGACTAGTTAGTTGGCAAGATTGGATGTTAGTTCACGCGTAGTGGGACATTCCTATGGGGCCTCATGAATGCCAATAGGCAAATAAAAAAGGAAAAGTTATTATTTTTGCTTACTTAAATATGAGATTATGATGTTGTTGAGCTATTTTCTCTATAGGTCGGTTTTAAAAATCTTGCAACGGTAAGTATGTAATAAATAGTTTTACTTATAATAAATGAATTTACTTAAATTAAGAGCTCAATTGGTTGTTTTTGTAATTTTTACTAACTTTTATTTTCTGTATCGGTGAGTAGTGTGATATTCTTACTAGGATAGTATAGCTCATCCATTCATTAACTATTTTAGATAAAAAAGACTAAGATCCAGATTCCGATCAACAAGGGGGTTGTAAATTGTTCACCACCTGAACTCCTTCAAAAACTAGTGAATATTATCCTAAAATGCTCAATTGTTTACTTTTCATTTATTTCGTTGATTTTCTTTTGTTCTTTTAGAAGGGACATTCTTATAACCCTATTTGGCATTTTAAACTATTGTGTAAGAAATGTGAACTCTAACTCTATTATTTCGCTTGCGCATTCAATTTATGATTTTATTTCCTTTTAAGTTCTGGGTTGTTACATAATATGATTAAATTTGTTGGATATAGATATAAGAGCGTATATCTAATTAATGTATAATGACATCCTCTCATCACATGAGACATGTCTCGAAATATTTTGCAATTATAATTAGTTGTAATATAAGAGTCTAATTCATACTAGTACATATGTGACCCGTAAATTAGCAAAAGATTGATCTAGTAATTAGACTACTTAAAATAAAGTTCGAAAAAGATAATATTTATAATGCATGTTAACTTAGGAAACAAACTAAAATATATTTTAAATCTAAAAATTTACTCTATAACAAGACCTTTACACAAGTATTTTGTATGGATTTATAAGGATTATTTAGGACAATAAGTATGGGAAGTCATTTATATGCATTAGAAAGATGAAGCTTATGAGATCTCTATCAAGTTTTCTAAAAGAATTCAAAATGAAAAAGGTTGTGTATTAACTAGCATAAGAAAAGTGATCATAGTAAAGAATTTGAAAATCATTTATTTGCTTCATGTTGTGATACTCATGATATAAAGCACAAGTTTTTTGGCTTGTTATAACTCCTCAATAAAATGAAATTGTAGAGAGAAAAATAGAATACTTGAAGAAACGATTATAAGTATATGTAAAAATAATTCACCTAAGTATTTCTAGACTACAATGGGTGATAATACATGTTATATTATGAATAAAGTATTTATTACACTAATTATAGTTGTTGAATAAACTTACACAAATTGTATTCAATGAATTAGTTTTCCTTCCCTTAAAAAAATCACAGTGACTATAAGGTATATATTGAAAATAATTAAATAACTTAACTATTTATAATCAATTAATTCTTTATTTTTATATAGAAAATTTTCTACTAAAAAAATGAAAAATTAAACTTCATAGATATAATTTATTTTAAGTTGAAAAAAACTTATGAACTTAATAACTTGTGTAACACCCACTAATTTTATAATTTTTATTATTATTATTATTAATTTTTTTTATTTAGTTTATTTTATAATTTTTGAATTTTAATTGATTTATTTAATTTAATTTAATAAAAAAATAATAATAATAATAAAATTGGGTAAAAATATTATTTGGATTTAATTGAAATTGATTTTGGGAAAAAGGGGTGAAAATTAGGATTCTGGGGGTATTTTTGAAAAGAAAATCGGAAACCAGGGGTCAAAACACAATTTAGAAAAATTGTGCCCCGTTAGCGCCACGTCAGCAGCCACGTCAGCGGCCCAGTCAGCAGCCCTGGCCAACCAGGACATGCCGCGTGGCAAGGCCACGCCTACCCGGGAACGGGCCACTTGGGCGATCCGCGTGCGCACGATCGGACGGCCCAGATGCGTCCCCGCGCGCACGGACGGTCCAGATCAAGCGTGCGCACGGACGGCCCAGATGCACGCGCACAGACGGCCCAGATTTAATCAAGATGGACGGCTGTGATTAAAAGGCAAAGGGTATAAATAAACCCCCCACACCTGACCACAAAAACCCTAGCCGCCAGCCCTCGCCGGAGAAGACGAACTAGACGCCGGAGGAGCCGGCCGCCGCCACCCTCCGCCGCACTGGAGAGTTTTTCGACCGTCGATCGAGGTAAATTTCATACCCACGGCTCGTTTTTCAATGCTGAGTTCCCTTGTGGCCAAATCGGAGCCAAAATCCCGGCCAAACGGCCGGAAAACACGGCTGAAACCCAACGGTGCCGCCGCGCCCCTCCTCGATTTTTGCCTCCGATGAGGCCCTTCCCGGCCTCCGTTTGATACAATTTTTATATCACCATGATCACCATTCTTTTCTCTACAAGTTTATCGGAGCCAAATCACCAAAACACGAACCTCGCTGGAGAGCCGCTGCACCCGAGAGCACCGCCGCCGGTAAGCTTCGGTTTTTCGTAAATTTTTGGCCCCCCGAGGGCCCTAGGGTTGTTTTATCGCAGGGACCGATGCAAGTGTGGCCGAATTCGGCCAGAAACGGCCAAAAACGGCCAACCCGAGGCGAATTGCAGCCGCAAGCGGCGGCGCCGTCGCCGGAGCACGGCGGAGCCGCTGTGCCGGAATTGCGATATTGGCCGAAAGGGGCCCTGGGTCTAATTTGAGATTTTTTGGGACACGTGCAGGTACCAGTAGTGCGTTTCAGTTCCTCGGAAAAAATTCAGGAAAAATTAGGGACAGCCTGTAGGCGCACTGTAGAGCCGTATTCAGACCCCGAAACAAGTAAGGACCCCTCACCCTATTTCCTATCACGGTATTAAAGTTCAATAAACGATAAAACGGTATTTCATAAATCAATAGATGTGTGAAATTATTGAGGTCGCTAATGGAGCCCGAGTCTGGTGTGTTTGTCAGTCAGCTGTTGTTTGGCGTATTTTACAGTTTTAAATACAGTATGAGGTCTGATGTTTTCATTTCATAGTTTCGTGTGCATATATCACTGTTTTATTGATTATGGGTTGAATGACTGAGAACCCGATGTTGTATGTTATCTTGTTTGGCATAAATTACTGGTTTGCTTGTTTGTGTGTGATTTGATGATGCTGACTGAGGAAAAAGGGGAATAAAAGGTTATGTAAATTGATAATTGTATAATGTGGTCAGCCTGACTAGATATCCTAGGAGATAGTGGATAGACCGGGTCCGTAGGGAACCCTACCGGGATTGTGGTCTCTTATACCGGACGGGGTATTGAGACCTTATGTGTTTTGGCGCCCATACTGGACGGGGTATGGGAACGACCCATTTCACCCTCATACCGGACGGGATATTGAGGTTTATAGTTTTGGCGCCCATACCGGACGGGGTATGGGGACGGCCCTGGAATCTGATTACAAGTGTTAAGGGTTCACGGGTAGTGGGACCCCTATGGATCCCCATGGATACTAGTAGGCTGGTAAATGAGGAAAATATGTTGTGTAATGATTGAAATGCAAAAGGTGTGATAAGTATTATGTTATACAGTTCATATGATTTCATGATGATGATAATGTTATTGCTTTCGTATGTTGTTTTATGAACTTCACCGAGTTAATTGGATAGTAAATGATTTTATTATTGATAAAAGAATTTGTTGTAAATTATGCTTCATTGGTCTTTTTGTGTTTTCTACCCACCTTTACCTTTGTGAGGGTGAGATAGTGTGATGTCTTTACTGGGCTGGTGTAGATCATTCCTTATTTAATCATTTCAGATCAGGAAGACATTGTTTCCGAGCCCGTTCCGCAGGAAGACGGCGAAGGGGACGCCTGAAGACTTCGTAGTTATATTTATAGCTTTTATTTTCGAGTTTCTCTTTTAATTAGTTTGTTCTTTTATACTTTGAGCACGTTTTTGGTTTTAGTGTAAGGGATGTTAATTAAAATTTTTATTACGCTTCCGCATTTGACCTTTTTAATACACATATTTCATTTTAAAATTTCAGAGCCGTTACAACTTGTATTTACAATCAGGATGCCTCTTTTTAGTATGTGAATATATTTTTAGTTTTTATTTATGTACATTTTATTCAAACTTTATAAATTAATTAACAATCAAGAGAATAACAATGAAAATAATTAAGTTAAAAGATTTTAAAATATTATTTTTAGTATTTCTACTAAGCTATTTTCTTTTTAGAAATATGTAATTTTTCATAGGAAACTACATAACACATATTAAGTTAAAAGAATAAAAGATGTTTTCAAATCATAGCTAAATATATTGCTTCTTAAACTCTTTTTTCCCCTTCTTTTTTTAAATATATATATATACATATATATGATTTATCTATTAAATTATACATAAATAAAAAAATAATATACATTTATCTACTAAATTAATATTAAAAACATACTTGCATGAAATATAAAATTTGTATTTGACTTGACACGTTTATTAATTATGTTAATTATAATTCATTGTAGAAATAATGAATTTTACTTGATGATGTGGCTTAATGTAGTAACATCGTTCCCCATCTTTATATGTATGTATATATATATATATATATATTGAGGTTTATGTTATCTAATTTAAACATCTAATATATCATCCAATATTTTTTATGTTCTTTGGGTCATCTATTATTTTTTTAATTTGTATTAATAACTTTTTAATTTTTAAATTACCAATAGTTTAAATAGTGAACAACTGGTTTACAAGATTTAACAAATAGATTAATCACTAATCAAGTTCAAAGTGATCAACGAAGGACAAGTTCAGAAATTGGCCAGCGGGGCGGGCGTGCATTGTGGACTCTGTTCCATGGATTAGCTAAACCCGCTTTAAACCCTAAAACTTCATAGTCGATTGAAAATTCTTTAAAAATTTCGTTAGCATAAAGCATGAACAAACGACTCCTTCGGTGTCTTCTTTCTCAGTCAATTTCTCCTCTATCATCAAAACCTAATTTAACTTGCGACTCATCATCGGCATTCCCTTGTACAATCAACATCTCGCAACACAATCGCAAAGTTTCCCGCCAATACATCATCACTGTAATCTCCAGATTCTTGTCCACCTCGCTTGGGAGCGAGCGTCAAGGATTAGTCGGACCAAATGATCCATATTTGCAGGATAACACGCGTATAGGGTCATTTTCGGCTGAAGAATTTGTGATTTTACACGATTCTTTGTTGGATTCCGGTGCCGGTAGTAGTTCTACAGTGCCCGAAGCTGAGAGCAGTAAGTCTTCGAACGATGCTGTTTCGATTGCTAATGTAATTTTGACAGAAGATGATGTGTTTGGGAATAAAACCCAGAAGTTTCTCCGGCAATTTAGAGAGAATTTGACTGAAAAGTTGGTTGTCGAAGTCTTGAGCTTCTTAAGAAGGCCCGATTTGGCGGTCAAGTTTTTCATATGGGCAGGTAGGCAGATTGGATATTGTCACACCGGACCTGTTTATAATGCACTGTTAGAAATACTTGAACGCGATGATAAGGATAGATTACCGGAACATTTTTTGCAGGAAATTAGAACTGATGACAAGGAGGTGCTTGGGAAATTGCTTAATGGTCTGATTCGGAAATGTTGCCGAAATGGGCTATGGAATGTCGCTTTGGAGGAGCTAGGGAGGCTCAAGGACTTTGGGTACAAACCTTCACGATCAACATACAATGCATTGATACAAGTATTTGTAAAAGCTGATCGGTTGGACACAGCATATTTAGTTCATAGGGAGATGTCAGATGCAGGATTTAGTATGGACGGGTTCACCCTAGGATGTTTTGTGCATTGCCTTTGTAAGGCAGGGAGGTGGAGGGAAGCCCTAACGTTGATTGAAAAGGAAGAATTTGTACCTGATACTGTAATTTATACAAAGATGATATTTGGGTTGTGTGAAGCTTCACTTTTTAAAGAAGCTATGGATTTTTTGGACAGAATGCGAGCTAGTTCTTGCCTCCCTAATGTTGTTACTTATAGGATTTTGCTTATTGGGCATCTAAGGAAAAGACAGCTCGGTAGCTGTAAGAGAATTCTTAGTACAATGATTATGGAAGGTTGTTATCCTAGTCCTAAGATTTTTAATTCTCTCGTACATGCTTATTGCAGATCTGGGGATTACCATTTTGCATATAAATTGTTGAAGAAAATGGTCAATTGTGGGTGCCAGCCAGGTTATGTGGTTTATAATATATTAATTGGTGGTATTTGCGGCAATGAGGAGTTACCAGGTTTGGATATATTAGACTTA